TAGAAGTGCCTATGTTCTGCTAAGCTATGCTACATCTGTGATAGTTTTATTTTGGGCACTGCAGTAAAAAAACTGACGTCAACAAATCAAAGTATATTAAAAAGATCTGGATGTAAGGAGTCTAGAAATCAAGCCAATTGAAGAAAAGGGTGTATTTATACCAGAGAGGAGCAAAACAAGAGCGATATATTTGAAGTCAGGCCATAGAAGATATAGAGTGTTTCTATGTTGCATCAGATTGCAAAATTAGATTTCCTGATTGAAGGGCACAAAACATTTCAAATTTAAGCTCACAATCTGTAGTGTCCAAAGAATAAGGTTCTTACCACTGCAGGTATTTAACAGAGGCGATAAACCATAACTCAAGAATTTTGTAGACAGGGTTTCTGTACTACGTGGAATATTGTATTAAAATCTTAAAACTTGATTCTAGATCACCGTTCTAAAGGGAAATTTCTATTCTACTAAATTGGAAACTGAGCAGTTATAGTACTACTTTTTTTGGTCGTTAGGTTTGGCCAAGGCTTTTGGCCTCTGATAATGTGTGTTGTCAGTGACAGACACTATTTCCTTTTCCTATTTTATTGCTGTTACCACAAATCTTCCACTAGGGGGGGATGCTGTCTTAAACCTCACAAAATATCTTTAGGTGAGTTGATGTTAGCTATTTACGTATTTTTTTTTATATTAAGCTAACAAAAATATTTAAGTTAGTATTAATTTATTAATTTGTAAAAATAAAGTAGGACACAAACATTGAGGCATAAATTAGGGACTTTCGATTAAATTGTTAGTTTTAGTTAATTTTCAGTTTATTTTAACCTTGAGTTGTAAATTTGCTCTGGAATTCTTCCTAAAATTAGAGGTTTTAGGCTTGATACTCAGGGATCTGGTTTGCAACATGCACATTAGCTGAGGCATACAAACTGCCTCTTGCTTCCTAGCTCCAAGCTCTAAGGTAGCTGGTAAGGGGAGTTCTTCTTACCTTTTGTCTAGACTGCTTTTCCAGCTTATAAGTCTCTGAACCTAACCATTTTATTCTTCCCTTAATACATGGCAGAACTGGCTGAAAATGAAAATTTGGTTCTTCCATCTGAAGAACAACAATAACAAAAAACAAAAACACCAATAGTCTTGCCTGTTCCTTTCCTGCTTCCTGGAATTCTAAATCTGTAAATCTCCTTAACCGCTACTTCCTCCCCTACCTTTTAAACATTTCTGGCTTCTATTTCACAGAGAAAACTGAGGTAATCAAGGAGGGAAAAGCCCTTGGCTTT